GCAGCTGATTTAGAAGCTCTGCCTATGAAGGATACAATTATGTCAATGGACCATCATGTCAGCCATGTTGAGGACCACTCATCCCCTATGATCCAAGAGCCTAGAAGTCTCTGGGAAAGTATGGTCACTGGGCTTGAAAATCACTCTGTTGTGGTAGAAGATGGAACCATGGAAGCTGGCAAGCCTTTGGGGAAAAAAACTAAGTCCAGAAAGGCTCAGGGTCTAGATGTGGAAACATCAATAGCATCAGGAACAGAACATCTTAGGGAATCACTTGGTGATGTCTCTCCAACTGAGCTTCCTATAAGTGATAAAGCTGAGAAAAGTGGTTCAACTCAGCTGAAAGAAGCAACAAAAATGAAAACAGTAAGTGCTACTCCAGCTGATGATGAGGGCACTATTGAAGTCATTCAAGATGTGTTGGAATCCTTGCATGTGTTGGAATCCTTGCATCAATACGGCAAGTATATAGCCAATCAGGATATGGATAAGAAGTCGAAGAAGAAAGCCAAGAAGAAAAGAAGCTCTACTCTTGTGGAGAATGTGGAGACAAAGGGAATAGATGATCTTGATCATTACAACCCAAAGACTTCAACTGATTATGTGAACTTGTCAGCTGAATCCTCAAAGGGGACTAAGTTGGTGAATACAACTTCAATGAATAAATTAAACAGATCAGAGGAATCCCAGAATAATGCAGAGGTTGAAGGAAATTGTGAAGTCCTGCCTCTTCAAGATGTTGTCAGTGTAAACTGCCCTGCAATTAACTTCACAAATGATAAAAATAAGAGCATAAATGTTTCCTGTGAAGACAATAGGATTAAAAACCAACACCAGAATGAAGCTGTTGCTTCTAGTGAAAAACATGTTGACAAGGTGACTGACAAAGGAGCAGCAGACAGCAAGGCAAAAGCTACAAAGAAGAAAAAGATGCTCAATATACCGTCTACTGGGCCCTCACCCAATTTACAACATTCAGTGATGTCAAATGAAAATCATAGTAGTGGAGGAGATGCTCAAGTCACCAGCTCTGAACCCATCCAAAATAAGAAATCATCATTAAACAGTGTTAATGAGTCTGATAGAGTCATGGTTCAATCAAACAACAAGCTTCCAAGCATTTCGTTAAGTAGAGAAAAACTGCCAGAATCTAACAAGTCTGAAAAGCAGATTACTCCAGAAGAAGCTCGAACACCAATTGTCACCAATTCTTCAAAGATAAGGACTCAGTTGAAGTTTTCTGCATCAACATCCTCTAGCTTGGAAAGCTGTAAAAGCATAGGACACAAAAACAAAAGCAGTAATGCACATCAATCTCATTTGACTGTTAAAAAAGCTCAAAGAAATGATACCAGGGAAGTCGTGGATAGCTCAGAACAGAAAAGGGGCCTGATTGCGACCTCTGGAATGATAGATGAAAGAGGTAATGGGAGTCAATCTCATGTGGCTGTTCGAAAAGCTCAAAGTAATAACAATGGAGAAGTAGTGGATAGCTCAGACCGCAAGAGGGGTCTCCTGGCAATGTCAAGTACAATATTTAAGGATGATGGTGAGGAGAGTTCTGACGAGGAAGACAAAACAGATGACTCAGATGCCAGCACTAGAACTCCATCAGATAAATCATCCTCATCTGAGTCTTCTGATAGTGATGCAGACTCTAATCCATCAGAAAATGGTTGTTGATTTTATATTTCAGTTGGATACATCTGTTCTATTAGTTTCTAATATTTATTTATGAAAATGTTGTAATTTAGTCTACCCAGCTTTTAATCATTGATGGAGGGGGCGGGTTGCCTAATATTGGGGGTCCAACCTTCCATCAATGGTTAAGTGAAGTGAGCAGACTTGAAGTGCAATCTGCTCAGGGCAAACTGCACTTCACTTTTCTATTTATTTGTTCTATTACTAAATTGCAATGCAACTTGCAGTTGATAACTTGTATTCGTTCATGAAATTATTTTCCAGGATCGTACAGCTCGAAAGGACAAGGAAGTGGCGGAAGAAACAAGAAATCATTGTAAGTGGGATTAAGATTGATATACTCTTCTGTTCAATGTTACAACACATGAATCTTTACTTTTGCATTGGAATTTTACATGCATGTAGTTTGGGAAAAAGCATGTATATCTAAGCAGTACTCTTCCTTGCTTCTCACGCAATCATCATCTTCAACTTTACCTTGCTTTCACTTGAAGCAGGCCTTCAAGCCCGAGAAGCATGCCTTTGGAAGCTATCCTTCGCAGTTCAACAAGATACAAGCGGGCAAAGCTAACATTTTCTCAGTCACATTACAATGACACCGAAAGCCAGCCCGAGGAATTCGTTCCAGATTATCAACGAAAATAGTGTCACCATGCGCATGCCTTCATCTTTCATTATGTTCACCTTGTTATGATTTCAAATTTTCTTGCATTTTACATCATTCCAATTTTCCAAAATTTCAAGTTAAAACCAAGGGAACATGGATTTTTTTGTTTTTTTTGGAGAGATAATTAATGGATAGGGGATTCAGGTGGTATTTTCTGGAAACTATGGTATAATTAATTATTTTATTTTATTTGCGGCTTATTTTGTGCTTCCTAAAATTTATTTCATTTCACCGGAGTCAAAATGATTTGAGTTATCTCTTTTTGAGAAGTAACGTAATAACTTTTTTAGGGATGTAAAATTTAAATTTTTAAATTTAACACCTTCACATTCCTTAAAAAATAAATATTAATGTTATCAATATGATTGTCATTAAAAAATAAAAAGACTATGTGAGTTGTGCCAAGATTTCTTGAAACATCGTCCTAAGGAATTTTCTGACTTGACTTCGAGGAGGAAATCAATTTGTTGAAACTTAAATTTAATAAAAATAAAAAAGAATTTTTTTTAACTTATGTTTTCTAGAATATAAGTTAAAAATATTTTTTTGGTTAATTTATATAAAAAATAAAAATTAATATTAATTTTAGTATTATTGTCATATATATAAATTTAATTGAATAAATTAAAAATTAATTTCTATTCTTCTAATATAAATTTGTAATAGAAAAAATATTTATTACACTTGATTTAGC